TGGAACCAGAGAACAGCCTAGGAGGCAAACGAGGGCTGGGGAGATACGGCTCAGTGGGTGTAAGCACTGTGCAAGCATCAGGTCCTGACTATGGAGTCCTGGAACCCAAGTAAAGCTGGACATGGGAGCATCTACCAGTACTCCCAGTCCTCCTCCTCAAAGACAGGAGGTGACAGGAGACTTCCAGAAGGTTGTGGGCGGGCTGGTATGGCATACCCTGTCCCAAGCAGGGTGGAAGGTCAAGGACTGACTGACTGACACGAGGTTGTCCTCTGACTTTCACACATGTGACACCTACATTGGTTGTTTTCTAAAGGAAGCGATTCAGACGACTGAGAAAAGGCGTCCGGTTTAAAATACTTTGGGCCAGCGCTATACAAGCTAGTTTGATCATTCCCTTCATGACTATGAACCCTGGGATGTCCAGGTGTATTACAGCATCCCCTGGATTCCTGAGGGTTCTAGCTTCTCTTGAAGACTGGTAATTCCCCAATACTCCACAGGGGACTGCAGCTTAAAAAGGATTAACTGTCATTTACTTGCCAACCAGAATAGACGCTGAATTGCAAACGCTGTCCAACAAACAAGAAAACCTTTAGGAAAGACGCTGACAACTGTACAACACTGTACACAGCCCCCGCCTGAATAACAGAGACAGAGTCTCAAACTTGCATTCAGGGGGCACCCTCTGCAGGCCTTCCAGGGCTACCAAGTTTCCCATCATTTTCTTGGCAGTCCTTCATGGAAGATTAGGTTTTAGTGTAAGGGTGTGGAGGCCTAGCACTGACACAGCTTGGGTTGCTAGCCACCTGGCATTTCTTGTAGGCCATGAAACTCTACGTGTTGTAACACTATATTAATTGTTATTTTATCTGTAAAAAAAAAAAGGACCTTAAGCAGCATAGGCTGGCCCGTCAAACTCATTATGTAACCGGGGATATCCCTGTCTCCCCCAGCTCTTCACAGTAGGCACAGTGACAGCTGGTTAAAGGGACAGATTTACATAGGCAGTGAAAAAGACGCCACCGTAATGCCAAGGGGCCATCCCGTGAAGCTAAGGAGAGACAAAGACGATGTTTTTTTGTTTTTTTTTGCATCAGAAACCGATTTTTAATCCTAACTTGGCAGTTGAAAGTCCACTCTGGCTTGGGCCTGCGCCTCTGCAAAACACGCTAAAACCGTCACCGCCTTCTAAGTCACTGTGCGAACCAGTCACGTAAGAGGTGCTGTGAGCACCAGGGCCCCTAACGGTGGCAGTCCTGGGTGGTGTGGCTTCTCTCCTCCCCGTCCATCCCCGCTGCACCGGGCTGCAGACCCGTCCCTGTCCCCCGTCTCTGTCCCTGTCCCCTGTCCCTGTCCCCCGTCCCTGTCCCCTGTCTCTGTCCCTCGTCCCTGTCCCTGTCCCCCGTCCCTGTCCCCCGTCCCCCATCCCCGTCCCTGTCCCCTTCCCCCGTCCCTGTCCCCACTGCACCGGGCTGCAGACCCGTCCCCCGTCCCTGTCCCCGTCCCCCGTCCCTGTCCCTGTCCCTGTCCCTGTCCCCGCTGCACCAGGCTGCAGACTCGTCCCCGTCCCTGTCCCCCGTCCCTGTCCCTGTCCCCTTCTCCCGTCCCTGTCCCCTTCCCCCGTCCCTATCCCCGTCCCCCGTCCCTGTCCCTGTCCCCGTCCCCCCGTCCCTGTCCCCGCTGCACCGGGCGGGGTCAAGGGCGCGCGCTCCCTGCCCGCTCGCCCGGTCCCCCGCTCGCCCCGGGTCCCGCCGTCCCACCTGTGGATACACCACGACTCGAGGTGGCGCAGCGCGCGCTTGTACAGCCGCAGCACCTTCTGCTGGTGCGTCAGGTAGGCCCCGGGCGCGCACAACGCCATGGCGCCCCGATCACCTTCACCGCCCGCCGCGGGGGCTGCCGGGAACCCGGAACGGGCGGAGCCGCTGCCGCTGCCGGGGGGGCAGGCGGAGAGGCGGGGGCGCGGGG